CAAATCGAAGTCTTTAGGGTCTTTGAACCATAGATTAATAGCTGTAGTGTTTAGTTTTAGTAGATTTTAGCTTTCAACATTCAAGTTACACTTTTTTAATTGGTGGTGACTGTGAGATTTGAACATCTCTAACCACTCCAAAATTTTTACCATCAGAACTAATTCAGCACCCTTAACTATATTAATATTTAAATAAGTGATCAGATATTTATAGTATGTCAGATTTGGGTCATTTTGAGAACGGAGATATCGAAGACCATCGAATTATCAATGATGATAGGCGTTGCAACGATGATGATGAGCAAGCCCCTGCTCAACCCGCTCAAACTCACCGACTAATGAAAGAGATTGCTAAAGCTTTTCGAGATGCTGCAATGTACGATATCCAGCCGAATCCACGTGAAAATAACTGGGTCCACGTAAAGACATTCAAGGGTGAAGAAGAAGAAGACCCTGTAGAGTGGATTGAAGCATTCGAAAGAGCCGCTGATGCGAATAATTGGACCCCATTAAGAAAAATAAAAATTGCTTCAGGCCATTTATCCGGAATTGCAGCAAGTTGGTATCATGATAATAAAAATGGCCTCATCCTTTGGGACGACGATAGTGAAGAGAATAGAGAATTCAGTTTTGTTCCAGCATTCACTAAGTACTTCACCTCCCCGGAGTGAAAACATCAGTGGCAGCTGGAGTTAATTCATTAAAGCAAAAAGAAACAGAAAAAGTGGACTGCTACGCCTACCAATTTAAAAGGCTACTTAAGCGAGTAGACCCTGATAAAGAAATTCCCACCGCATACGTCGTAAGAATGTTCCTAGGAGGCCTACGTGGAAAAATCGCCGCATTAATGTCAACAGACGACCCCAAAACCTTGGAAGAAGCAATTGCCAAAGCCTGAAGAATAGAAATTGGAGGTTATTACGAAAAGGAAAAAACTAAAGAACCTAGTAGCCAAATTATAGAAGATCTGACCCAAAAAATGCAGCAAATAGCGACGAATTACAAGAAATTAGCAACTGCCCTTGCTATTCGAACTGAACCAGGCCCCCAGCCACCCACGAATAGACCTTACCCATTTTGACAACCAAGAAATGGTGGTACTGGGTATTATAGTTGTGGTGAAAGGGGCCACATTGCCCGAAATTGTCTGTCTGAAAGACAAAACCCTAGAAGGCCCATTGGTAAACCCAAATAGGAACTAAGTACGTCCAAGAAATATCAATTTATGTGATATTCACATAAGTGATACCGAAGAGGCATACGCGATTAAACGAAGAGAAAGACCCGAAACCGAGACAAATTAGGATGAAAGGCTCCGATAAAGGGTCATAACTGACCAAAATCACCCAACACAACAAATTCAACTAACTCTCATGGAAGAAGACGTACAAACCCCAATCCGGCCTCAAGCAGAAGCCAACAATAGAATTAGACGAAGAAGAGCGCCATCAGCCGTCGACCTACTACCACCATATAATATTGCTGATGACCTATTAAATCAGCGGGCCAACGCTACGTATGGCCAGTTACTACAAGTTTCCAAGCAAAGGCAGAACTTGTCCCATGCACTACGATGCCCCATAGTCTCAGTAGTAGAAGCCACTAACTTCGTGGACAATCAATCAAGCAAGAGGACAATGGCGGCCAAGTGCTACGTTAGAATTCAAAATAACCCAATACTAGCTGTACTAGACTCGGGAGCCGCAGTCAGCATTATGTCCATCAAACTGGCAAAAAACTGAAACTCACTATAGCTGAGCCTTCCAATACTGTCATTATCACTGCCAACGGGACCAGAGAAAGAGCACTAGGAAAATTAGTAGGAATAAGACTAGCAATACAAGATGCATTAATACCCACCGATTTCCAAGTGATCGAAAACCCCGAAGAAATGATGCTTCTTGAGATAGACTGGTTCCAGAAAGTCCGAGCCCGCCTTCATTTTGACGAGAAAAAGTTATTCTTGAGGTACTTGGGTAGATGTATTGAAGTACCTATCTACCAAGCCAAAGAAGAAAAATTAGATTCTTCACAAAACTACAACAACGACGAAAATGACTTCTTCAACCAATACGAGAAAGAGTAAGACCTAGAAGAAGCGGAAAGTTATTATACAGATGATTCTGTAGCAGAAAAAGAAATAATAACTACTAGTTGTGGGGAAGAAAATAGCCCTGCAATATACCTAACGGCAATAGAAGAACTCCCAACCCCAGAAGAGGATAAACCAATCAAGCAAAACCCTAAAGAAGTCATAGAGCAATTGGTGCAAGCAAGAAATCTAACTAAAGAACAAAAGGAAGAAACTATATATATATTAGAAATGTTTCAAGAACTTTTTGCCTCCGGCTTACACCAATTGGGCCAGTACCATGAAGTAAAACACAAAATCGATACCGGTGAAGCCCAGCCAATCAAGCAATTGGCCTATAGGATCGCCCCGGACGAACAAGACTTTCTAAATGAAGAAATCAAGAAATTATTAGATAATGGGCTAATATATGAAGTCAAAAGTCCTTGGGCCTCGCCTGTGGTGATAGTCCCGAAAAAGAACGGCAAGCTCAGGCTGTGCATTGATTACCGAAAACTAAACGCCGTAACAAAAAAGGATGTGTTCCCTTTACCCCGCATCGATGACTTACTAGAAACCTTTGGAAGAGCAGAATGGTTTTCCTCCCTAGACCTAGCTAGCAGATACTGGCAAATTGGTATGAAGGAAGAAGACTGCGAGAAAACTGCATTTGTCACCAAGCAGGGTACTTACGCATTCAGAGTAATGCCCTTCAGTCTATACAATGCTCCAGTGACCTTTCAAAGAGTAATAAACCATGTACTCAACAAAAATATCAGAAAAACGTCGCAGTATATTTAGACGACATAATAATATACTCAAAAACATTTGAAGAACACCTGACTCACCTTAAGGATGTCCTCATGAAGCTAACCACGGCTAGGCTAAAACTCAACTCTGACAAATGCGAGTTATTGAAAAATAACATTAATTTTCTAGGACATACTGTAGGAAAAGAAGGCATTAAGCCCGATGAATCGAAAGTGGCCAAGGTCAGAAACTTTTCTGCACCAGCCAACTTGAGGCAGTTGAGAGGCTTTATAGGCCTTACTTCCTACTACTGCCGATTCATAAAAGGTTTCGCTACAACAGCAAAACCACTACATAAATTATTAGAAAAAGGCACAGCATATGAATAGAGCCAGGCTCAAGAAAAAGCATTCCAAGCTCTGAAAACCCACCTTATTACTGCTCCGGTCTTAAGATATCCGGATTTCGAAAAACTATTCTACTTATACACGGACGCGTCCGGAGTGGGCCTAGGAGCAGTACTTGCGCAAAAGGATAAAAATGGAAAAGAATATGCTATTGCATATGCCAGTAAGAGTCTTACACGACCTGAAAGAAACTACTCGGCTACGGAGTTAGAATACTACGCTGTAGTCTGGGCCGTAGAGTATTTTCATCATTATTTAGAGTACAAGCCTTTTTATATTGTAATGGACCACTCAGCCCTGAAATGGCTACAAACCTCTGCTCTTAAGAGTCGAAGAGCCCGATAGATCCTATGTCTCCAACCCTACTACTTTCATATCATTCATCAAGCAGGAAGGGTCCACAATAATGCGGACGCATTATCAAGGATGGTGGAAAAGTTACCTCGAACCAAAAATATTACAATTAAGACTATCAGCCATAACCAAAAAGCAGCTGATATGAAGAATGCTGAGAAAAACCAAACACTATGTACACAAACACACCAAGAAGAAGGTGTAGAAATCGAGATTTTTAGGGCCATAGCTCAAGAATATTTCTACGAAGATTCCGATGAAGAAGTAGAAGAAATACTCTGGGCCAGTAACAATGGATAGACCATATGGGACGAAGAAGAAGAAGAAGTCCTCACCACCTACTTAGAGCAAGCAAGGTTGCACGAAACTTTACTACAACAACTCATCCAAGATTTTGGTCAGGAAAACATTTGGAATAGCCAAGTAGCGCACTATGTAGAAGTAGAGTATGATAGTGGCTATGAATCTGGACCAGAACCAATGGATATTGACGAGGTCTATCTAATTGATATACCCAGATAGGGAGAGTCAACTCAAGGCCTCGAATTAGAAGAAAATTATACTACTAACCCCGACTTAGATCAAGGTTGGGAAGAAAATAACAATGATTCATTCCCGGAATTTCCAGAAATGGACCTGGATTCGGAAGAATGGTCTCAATCAATTGACGAATATATCGATTGGGAATACTACGATTCCTTATAAAGATTCATCTTACAAAAAAAAAAAATTAAGGGCCAGTAAAATAACGATCCAACCTAAAAAAAAAAAAAAAAAAACATCGCATATTGTTATATATATTTAGTTAGCTCCTATTTTTATAGTTATAGTTATTTTTTTTTTTTCAAATACAGACCTGACATTAGAATAGGGATGGTCAGGATAGAATAGGGCGAGTTGTGGGGCCCTATTTAAAAGATTTTCACACCAATTGACGCAAGCAAACTAAGTACAACGAAAAACACGAGGAACACAAATCTCGGAAAGAAATCGTGAAAACCTCAGGACAACCTATGAACACTTCACAAAAAAAAAAAAAAAAGAGAAAGAACTCGACCATCGGTAGAAAAATGAGTCTATTGCGACTAAACCCGAAGCCTCCAAGTAGTAACCAAAAATACGAGGCTATTAACCAAAATGGATAAAGATGGAATTAATAATCTTGGATCCGGCTAACCATGCGAAATAATTTTGCAAGACACGAAGAAATACCTACCTAAAACGAATACCAAAGTTAAATCCGACGCTAAGCGAGAATTCTGACCAGGTTGTCGGTGTCCTGGTACCAATATTTGAAAGGAAAAATACCAGTCGTTAATAAGAATTCCAACGTAGGGTCTGGAAATATTAAGATGTGGTTGAATGAATTCCATTTAGTAGATGTTAAAGAAATCGGTAAAGGAGGATTGGTTTCTGTATATTCAGCAACCTTGTTGGACAGCATATGAAAAGAAGCTGAAGTTGAACTAATAAGCAGTCAACTAAATTAATATCAATATAAGAAATTAACCGGGGATTATAATTACGTGATATCGTGAACAAAGTTCACGATTAGCAGAGACCCAACTAAATAGAGACCAAGAATTCGAAGCTATGGAAGGAAGACTTAAAATCTACGAGAAAAGCCATACAGAGTAGTATTAACGCGAGTAAAAGGCTTTCACCCAAGAAAATTGAAGGAAAAGCACGAAGGCAAATACCTACTTAGTCATACCACGCATACAGAAGATATAATCGCAAGAAAAGATAAATAACGGATGGGTATTGAGACCAAAACGGAGTTGGAGTTGATAATGAAACTCAAGCATTGATGAAATTAGAAAGATTAATTGTTAATTAATACTTGAACCACTGAACAAAGCTAAAGCGTCAATCAACTATAAACCTGACGTTAAACTCAATTCGGTCCAGGTTGTCGGTATCCTGGCAAAGTTTAAAAAAAAAAAAAAAAGAACAAAAGTAATACAACCAAGATTAAAAATTTAAAATAGATCTACAACAATACGTAGCATTGAAGACTTACCTTCAACATCAGCAGTACCCGCAGCACTATAACGAAGCGCAACGAAAGCAATTATTAAAACAAAGTCGTTTTTTTCTAGTCAAGAACAGGACAGTCTACAAGAAAAATAGGAAGGTTCCAAAGAAACCGATAAAAGTGTTACAAGAAGAAGAATTAGAGACCATATTGACCTTAGCCCATGATCATCCTTTAGGCCAGTGTTGGCATTGGACATATGTCCACCCATTTTTAATGCCATTGGACTGGACATGGATATTGGATATATACTTGGA